TTTAGATGGTCACCCCACTGCATGGGAGTTGAGTCAGACCTTGGCTAGACATCTTTCGCCCTTTGTACCCTGGAGTCTAGAACATCTTCTATTATTCACTCATTCATCAAACATTCATTGAGCTCAGCTAGACCTTTCAGGCGAACAGTAAACACGCCAGCCGGAGTCTCCACCTTGTGGGCCTTACGTTTCCCTCTGCATCGTAAAGCCCGAAAGAAGGAAGCACCAGTTTGGGTCTTCAGTGGCACCATTAAACATAGAGTAGAAACACAGAGGTTGAATGGAGTCGCCCCACGGAGAGCCCACGAGGACATGTGGCATGTCCATTTAGGGGCTCGTTTTGGTGTCTTTAGCTTTCAGCTGGTAGAGAGAACACTGGGATGAGCATCTTTGTATGCTTACCTTCATGTACAGCTTGGGTTATTTTCTTAGAATAAATCATTACGAATGGACTTCGTGGCTCAAGGTGTGGGGAAATGTTGAGGTTTCTGGATGCCTGTGCTCAGGTCCCTCCACAAGGAGGTCCTGGCAGCTCATACACTCATTAGCAGGGTCTGAGAGCGACTGTTCTCTGACAGCTCCAACTCTGAAGAGTTTTTCTTTTCCCCATTTGCTGTTGGCTTTGAAGAGCAGAGGGTGAATGAAAAATACACGTGTTGAGGAAGGATGGCATTATGTGTTTGTAAGTTAGATCAGAGCACACCCATCTGGAATCGCTGCTCCCTGAGGGCATGGGGATGGGGCAGAGAACGTTGGCTCAGTTGATTTTTTTCCAGGACTGGGCTTTGAGCTTGGCACAGTTCTCGCTCCGTGCCAGGGTCAGCTTCCAGCACTGGGCGGCTTGTAAGGTCACACAGAGCGAGGGCGAGGTCACAACCCCAGGGAGTCTGTTCAAGCAGGCCTTTTAGATGGAGCCTGTAACTCCACCCCAAGGTGCCAGACCCTGGTGGTAGCGGACAAGACACCAACACGGTACCGTATGGTGACAGAGGCAGTTCCAGCTCTCCTGGGAAAGAATCACTTTGCATCCCCACAGGCAGGTAGGCAGGTTGGGGGACAGGGGTAGATAGCTACCAATTTAATTCAGTGCATATTTATGGGATGCCGACTCTTTCATTTTTTTAAGAATTATTTATTAGTTTATTTATTTATTTGACCAGAGATAGACGAAGAGAGGAGAGTGAGAACGCACATTTCCAGTTCTGATCGGCCATGTGAGAGTCCAGCACCTTAACCACCATACCACCTGCTGGCCCCAAGGGACACCTACTCTTTACTGAGAATCTGGGGATCCGAGAAGCCTTGCAGTCTGGCTCTGTGAGAATCTGAGAATCCAGGCAGAAATCCTGGTTCTCATGGAGCTGATGTGTGAATTGGAGGAAAAGAGCTAAGGAAACCATAGCTCCGGGGGGTGTGGCCTGCTCAGGGCCTGTCCCTCCATGGCGGCAGCAGGAACACTGGGGGCCCTGCGGGAGGCAGCAGGTACCCTGAGGCTGTTCCGAGTCAAGTCGTGGGTACAAACACAGCTCAGGGCTGTTGTGGCGTTTAAGTGATTCATGTAAGACACGTACTGTCACTGTTAGAGCTGTCGCTGTCATTTTTATCCTCCAAGTCCTTACTATTGCAGCAGCCCATTTCTCTGTTCCGAAGCTTTGAGCAGTTTCCCCACAGAGAGAGGGCGGGAGGGAACCCCTGTGACCTGCCGGAGGAGCCACCTGTGGAGCTTGGGGAATGCCTTTGCTGAGCAGCAGCCAGAGCTCCAGCACCTTAACCACCATACCACCTGCTGGCCCCAAGGGACACCTACTCTTTACTGAGAATCTGGGGATCCGAGAAGCCTTGCAGTCTGGCTCTGTGAGAATCTGAGAATCCAGGCAGAAATCCTGGTTCTCATGGAGCTGATGTGTGAATTGGAGGAAAAGAGCTAAGGAAACCATAGCTCCGGGGGGTGTGGCCTGCTCAGGGCCTGTCCCTCCATGGCGGCAGCAGGAACACTGGGGGCCCTGCGGGAGGCAGCAGGTACCCTGAGGCTGTTCCGAGTCAAGTCGTGGGTACAAACACAGCTCAGGGCTGTTGTGGCGTTTAAGTGATTCATGTAAGACACGTACTGTCACTGTTAGAGCTGTCGCTGTCATTTTTATCCTCCAAGTCCTTACTATTGCAGCAGCCCATTTCTCTGTTCCGAAGCTTTGAGCAGTTTCCCCACAGAGAGAGGGCGGGAGGGAACCCCTGTGACCTGCCGGAGGAGCCACCTGTGGAGCTTGGGGAATGCCTTTGCTGAGCAGCAGCCAGAGCTTGCCTAGAGCCACTGCATTCAAGGCTGCTGAAGGAGCTGGGCAGGGCCGCCATCTGCTGGAGCCAGGGGGAATTGCCTTCGACAGGATTCTGGCCCTGCCTTTATTTTACTGATGGGCGGAGGCCAAAGAGGAGGCAGGGTCTTGCCCAAGGTCCGGTGGCAGAGCTTAGGTTTAAGGTCACGTGTCTTATTCTTTTCTCTTCCTACCACACTCTGTCATCTCTGTCTGATCTTTGAGTGCCTCTAATTTGCTCTTTGGGTGTCTCTGCTGAGCTATAGATTATGGGGAAATACGGGCCTTCCCTCTGAAATACCAGCCTCTGGTCCCCACCCTGCCTGCATGCTCTCTCTCTCTCTCTCACACACACACACACACACACACACACACACACACACAAACACACAAACACACACCGCCATTGCTGACTGAGCCCCACCCTGAGCGCTCTCCGGGTACTTCCTGCCAACATCAGGTAGCTTCTGACACATTACACAATAACGTGGGTTTATAAAATCTTCAGCCATTTCAAGAACATAGACCACCAACCCCCCCCCCGCCCCCCCCCCTCCCTGCGCGCTCTCTCTCTCTCTCTCACACACACACACACACACACACACACACACACACAAACACACAAACACACACAGCCCTTGCTGACTGAGCCCCACCCTGAGCGCTCTCCGGGTACTTCCTGCCAACATCAGGTAGCTTCTGACACATTACACAATAACGTGGGTTTATAAAATCTTCAGCCATTTCAAGAACATAGACGTAGAAAATGAAAACTTCCCATGACCACAGAGAACCACCATGGACGAGGTTGATAGGGGTGTTTTCAGACATTTCCTCTTTCCCGTGTTGCCGCCATGCCCGCAGACGGTGGGTGTTACCGGAGGTGGCGGTTTGCAGCCCGCATTTTCAGTGAGTGGCTTATCCCCGACGTCTCGCTGTCAGCGCAGTCCCTCTGGCAGGTGGCCTCCTTAGGAAGACTTCGTAATCCGTGACACCTAGCCTCCTGGTGGAGGTTGAGTGGTTTCCTGCACACGCTGTTACTGGCCTGGTGCAGTAAACACCCTCACACTACAGAGAGCAGTGGGCATTTACCGAGTGCGTCTAGAACTGGGATTTGCTGGGCCCACCCAAGGGACTGTGAACCCCTAAAATGAGGCCAGTGCTTAGGCTACCCCTCCTGCTTCCCAGCTCAGGGTCTCGCAGGTTGCCGCTCATGCCCTGAGTTCATTGCCTTTAGAAAGCCCTGGCTGCCCAGTGGGCAGTGCTGGTGTCCTCGCAGTCTGGCCTCTCGTTAATCAGAGCGACACCTCCTGTTGGCAGGGGTGCAGGTGGACAGCCAGCCTGTGTCTGCTGGTGAGAATGTAAATAGCAACAGTGCTGCATTTATACATTTGTGGGGTTTTTGTTTTTTTCTCCCAACCTTCTGTCATGAGAAGCACTGTATCTTTTGGGAAGGCAACTTAGAAATGTATCAGAAGTCTGCAAGTTATTTTGCCCTCCCCTGGAGCCCAGCAATTCGACTTCTAGGAATATACTCCAAGGAAAGAATTAAGGACAGGCACCAAGATTTACATCAAGCCCTGGTGCTGCCTGGAGTGGTGGAAAATTGAAAAGTACCTCTTCGTTCAGTTCTAGAGGACTGATACACAATTCCTGTAGAGGGGCCTTAATGACCTGACCAGTGCTCCAAAGAGTAGGCTGTCAAGTACAGTTAGAGTACGGCCCTCAGCAGTTCTCGGCTGTGCCTGGCGCAGCTTTATCTGCGTGGCTCCCTGCTCTGTCCAGGAGAAGGGCCGTTGCCCACCCTCTCCGCAGTGAGGGCTCCTGGTTCTCTATCTTCCCCCCTCCAGTGTGCTCGGGCCAGCTCGCTCCCCTTGGAGAGCTCAGGCGCCTCAACATTCGTAGGTCCAGGAGAACGCTGTTTCCCCTGCCCCCTCATTCCTCCTCTCAGCCAAGCACACCCCTATCCACCTACTTGTTCATGTCAGAAACCTGAATTCCCGTCAGTACGCACTAGGCCATTGATTTATTCTCTGAGTCAGGTCCAGAGTCTGTCTCACTGCCACCGCCACCACCATCACTGCCACCACCACCTTCCTCCAGCTGTCGTCTTACTGCACCTGAACTTCTGCAGGAGCCTCCTAGTTTGCCCACCTCCAAGCTCTGCTCCACCCAGACACCAGTTGTCTTTGAAAACACACAACTAGGCTGGCTCCATAGCTTAGTGGTTAAGGGAGCAGGATCCCACGTGGCTGACCAAGGTTCAAATCACAGCCCCAGTGGCTTGGAAAACATGTCAGGTGCATGTGTATATGTGCCCCAAATCCCTCAGCAGGGTGGAGAAATGGAGAAGGGATCGCAGCATGACCACGCCCCGCTGGAGGATGCTTTCTCTCTCTCTCTCCCTCTCTCCCTCCCTCTCTTTGCTGAGCACACATACCCTCTAGCAACTGAAAACAAAGGATAGAGGAGAAATGAAAATGCGCAGCTGATCATTCATGACCTTGCCCAGAGCCCCTCAGGGACCAGGCTGCCAACATGGCCTGGCCCTGGCCCTTGCCCACCTCCACAGCTTCCTCAGTGTCACTCCCCTCTCCCACCATTCTCCAGCGCCCACTGTGCCTTCCTGCCCCAGGGCCTTCACACATGCTGTTCCCTCTCTGTGACGATCTTCCCTCACTCTCCATCTAGATACCATCTGTCCATCCTGGAGCTCAGCTAACGTGTCAGGCCCTGGCGACTGCGCCAGCACCCCGCTTTCCCTCTTGAAGCCCAAGCCCTGTGGCCGTGCCGTAGGTGAGGGTCAGTGTGTGCTGCTCCAGCAGGGGTAACCTCTGTGCAGGGGGTCCATGGCCCACTTGGTCATTGCAGTATCTGCAGCACTAAGCAGTGCCAGGCACGTGACGTTGCCAACGAGGGTGTGGATGTTCATCGGTCACTTTCTGGGAAAGACTGAGCACGTGGGCATTGAAAGTGCATGGCGGAATCAGGCAGTGGAGCTGGGTGGCCGGCCTGTGCCTCTCCGGCATGTCCTGCCACGCCTCTGGGAAAGGCAGTCCTCTGGGCTGTCAGAGCTCAGGGCCGGCACGGGGGCTCTTCTCTGCAGGCTGCGTCCGACTCCCCTCTTCACCTTGCCCTCCCCACAGGCCTGCGGAGCGATGCGCCAGGCATGATGGAGGTAGAGTCCTCCTACTCGGACTTCATCTCCTGTGACCGGACAGGCCGTCGGAACGCGGTCCCCGACATCCAGGGCGACTCAGAGGCTGTGAGCGTGAGGAAGCTGGCCGGAGACATGAGCGAGCTGGCGCTCGGGGCAGGTCAGAATCCCGCACACGGCACCCCTGCGGGGGTCCGGGCAGGCCAGAGAAGGCGCTGCATTCCAGTCAGGCCTGGCCCGTGGTCAGCATCAGGGGGCAGCCAGGCTCCGGGTAGGAGGGTGCCAGCCTCTCAGCCCAGGGGCTCTTCCCCAGGCCATCACAGGGACCTCAGTCCTCCCAGCCCAGCCACAAACCAGGTCCCTCCACTCCCCATCCCTGCAGCCACCGCCGGGTCAACTGCGGTCTCTTCATCTCCTCCCTGCACCCACTGCCACCCTCCCCTCCCGTCTACACGACAGTCAGAGCGCTTCCTTTAAATCATCCTGTCCCATCACGCTCCGGCCAGAAGCCCCCCAGTGACATCACACTCAGGTGGCAGCGTCCCCCAGAGTCCAGGTACCGGGTGTCTCTCCGCTCCCCCCCAGCCCCACTGCCTCAGGCTGCTCAGTCAGGGCCGCCTCCACTCAAGCCAACACCCGGTAGCGCTCCACTCCCAGGGGCCTTCTCCAACAGCTGCATAGCCCCTCTCCAGTCACGTGACCCTGGCCACTCTGACAAGGTACCTCCTGTTCTAGACACGAAGCAGGTGCTTGGTAACCACAGACTAAATGGATGGAGGAAACATGGCAGCTGCCACCCAGTGTTGCCAAGGATGCCCCTCCTCTGTCCTCCCAGAGGGCCCTGCTTAGCTCAGGTCTCCTAGTCAGCCTGCGACCTTCTCTGGGAAGCTGTGGCCAGCACCACAGAGGCTGACTGTCACGTGGCACACTGCCCACGGCCCAGCTGCCAGCCTGTGCTTGTCTCCCCTCAGGACTGTCCTTGGAGGGTCATGACCCTGTCTTCCCTGTGTTGCTCCAGGCAGGAGTCCCTGACCTTTGGTAGGTCTAGAAATAACCTGCCGATACAGAACAGAGAAGACTTTGTAGAGAACTAGACCCAGCCCTCCCCATTTGAGACGGACAGACTGAGGTCCATAAAAGTTCGGGGCCTTGCTCAGGGTCAAGCCGGCAAGTTAATACAGTAAGAATGGAAGTCTGGCCACCAAGGAAGAGCGAGGGAAAGCACGTGTGTGCGTGTGCCCAGCCCCCGGCCCGTGGACCCGCACCCCAAGCCTCCCTGCTCTGGTCTGTCAGCCCTCCTTCCTGTGTGGTCCAGAGTCCTGTCCAGGCACTGGCCTCCAGCTCACCCTGCTCAGCCCTGCAGCCCAGCCCTCTGCCTCCCCTCGGAGCCCTCTCCTGGCCAGAGCAGAGCACTCGTATTTCCCCAAAGCCCCTGCTGGGCCCCAACACAGCGCAGCCTCCATTCAGTTCTTCCCGTCCCCACCTGGCCGGCATCTCCTCACTCGCAGATACCCCGACACCTGCTGCTGAGAGGCCCTCCCTGACCACAGTCCCCTGACTGCAGTCCCCTCTGAGACAGAGGAGGCACCTCCCCTCCCGGCTGCTCCATGGCCCACTTTGCACAGCTCCCTCCCGGACCGAGCTTCCCCGGCACAGAGCCTATGCCTCGGTGCCTGGTGGCATTTAGCACATGGCAGAGGTGCCTGGCCCTTGGCTGTTACTGACCAACTCGGATGACCACATGCCAGCTGTCGCCCTGGGCACACCGCCAGGGGCTCTCTCTCCCTACCCTCGGCCCATAAACGTCGCCTGACTCCCTCCACTCCAGCAGACGCCGCTGCTGGTCCATGCGTCAGGCCCTCTGACACCTCCTGCCCCAGCTCAGCATCCCTGCGGTGTCTGGTCTTCCCGACGTCTGCCTGCCGGGTGACTGATATCTAAAAAGAGGACCGGGGAAGACCAGGAAGGTGCTACACTTGTGGGGTTGTCCATGTGGGACCAGCTGGCCAGAGCTGAGTCACAGCTGGGCGCCCACAGGCAGCTGGGGTCTGGTCCAGTCCAGTGGACTCCCAAGGCAGTGGGACTACAGGTCAGGTGTCAGCCCAGAGATTCAGATCCAGAAGGCCTGGGGCATGGCCCAGAGCCCCCACTTGCTCAGGCTTGCAGGAAGATAGTTGCGCAGCCAGGGTGGGGACAGGGAGCCTGGCCTTAGCATGCCCCGTGGGCCTGGCCTGGTTCATCAGTATTTGGGTATGTGACTTAGAGACCTCTGCCCTCTGAGTGCCCTGTGCAGAGAGCACCAGGCCTTCCTTCCTTGGCCCGTAGTGAGCAAAAACCAGGCGAGGCACGGAGGGGCCAAGGGTGTCAGTGCTTAACCATGGAATGCCCCTCACCGTGCTCTGAAACTGGCCCAGAGGGGGTGTCCAGGGTGTGGTTGGAGGGGGACCTTCGCCCCGGCCGAGGGGATGCTGGGGCTGGTGCTCAGGAAGCGTTAAAGCCACTCCCACCTGCCAGATGGCCACATATGGCCATGCGTCCCCTTGAGGGCTGGAGGAGGTGTCACTGCCCCACCTTCTGGATCAGGAGGCAGAGGCTTGGAGAGACGAGATGTCTTGCCAGAGGTGGCACGGAGCAGGGTCCCCGGGGAGTACATGTTCCCTATAGCAAAAACCTCTCAAAATAAAGAGAATCCTCCTGCTCACCAGCGGGCTCAGGACCAAACAGCGTCCTGCTGTAGAAATTCTGCCTAAGCTTAGGCCAGGTGGCCAGGTTTCTGGAGGGCCTGAGGGGCTTTCTGGACCCCAGCCTTCGTTACAGGCCCCATTGCAGGATAGGAGGTGGCCTCGGGGACAGGTTGGGGGGGGCGGCTCAGAGGTCAGTCCATACTCGAGAGCCAGACTGCCACGTTCTGCTGGCGGCACCCATCACCACCAACACCCAGGCCCTGGGAGTGCCCAGGGCAGAACCATGGGGCTAACATCTGGTCTCCCTGCACCCCGGAGAAGGCCGTGTGTTGGCAGACACGTGTCGGGGGCCACAGGCTGTGCGGCAGGCTGGGGTCTTCCCACCTCGTGATCTCAGGCGGGTCAGTCCCCCCAGCCTCGGCTTTCCTGTGTGCATCGTGACCTCCTCGCACCTCCGGGTTGCTGTGCGGAGCGTGTACAAAAGCGCCCGCTCGTCCACACACCTGGAGGACCATCAGGGCGTGCTTCTCCAGTCACCTGAGGGCCTTAGCTGAGCAGTGCCCTGACGTGGGCAGGGAGGTGGTCTAGTAAGGGCTGCGTTTGAACACAGACCCTCGCACCTGGTGACACTGCAGTTTCCCGGGGTCTAAGAACGGAGCTTTGCCCACGTGCAGGCTCCATGTGGGCACCTCACACGAGGCCTGATGTGCACGCACCATGAGGAAAGGGTGCTGAGCCAGAGGGCTGGCCATGAGCTTGGCCTCTCCGCACACTGGGCACTGAGGGGAGTGCCTGTCCGCTCACGGTGGGCCTGAGGGGAGCTGGGAGGCAGGAGACTCGCCTCGCACCATGATTCACAAGGCCTCAGAACCCACTGCTGCCCCTCACCCCCAGCCCCTCCAGGGTTTCTGGCAGCACAGATTGGGGGGGGGGGGGGGGGGCGGCCAGGTGCATCCCGGGCC